CCTCTGAATGTCAACCACCAGAATGTATCAGTGTTTCTCATTGCTGACGAATTTCTACAAATTGAGACGACCAGAAAGCATAATAGGATGTTGTTTCCTAATAAAACACTACTGGCAAATCTGGGGAAGAGTGCAGCGTTCTACAGCATAACTGGATTTTAAAGTTTCTGCACTATAGAAAAATATTTGAGAAAGTTTTCACTACAATGAATATTTCTTTCTTCTAACAAATTTTACGTAAACTACGAAAAAACTTGTGAGTGCTCGTGGGTCCTGTAAATTTATTCTACTGCTGTTAAACCAGAAACGGCTGTCTCTGAGAAATAACAAGTTTATATAGTTTAGTTTCCTTTTGGGCACGCGGATTTCATACCAGGGTTGCTTATATGGTCAACTACTAAGACCGATTGCGGCGAAAAACTTTTTCTTGGTTTGAAGTCCTGTGCAATTATCGCGGGGCCGTCTTCTTTATAAATCAATCAACGCAAGACCTCAGTTGACCTCTTTGTATTTTTCTTTCAAAAGGGGAATATAAAATCAACAAACCCACCAGCTCTTTGCCATAGTTTTTTGAAATTTAACCTTTTTACTTCTTCTGAGGTCTCAATTTCTGTTGATGCTTGTGGTGGATTGAGCCTGTTGGTATGTCTGGTTATCTTTACTCAAAGTCGTCTTGCCGTTGTGTTATATATACATCGCAAGATTGCCCATTTAATCTGGATACTTACTCTCTGTTCCGAAAATTGATATGGTTCCGCGTCTGATATTTGCAGGAGATAAACAAAACTGATAAATTCAGCAAGTTTGATATGCTCCAAAACGCCTGCTTTGTATTTGTAGCCGTCTACGACGGTCAAATCGCTTCTTTATCTGTTTAGCGGACGCAAGAAAACCTCTTGTTTTACCTGTTGGTTTGTGGTTGCCTATGTAAGCAAACTTCAACGGCAAGTTGCCAAATACGTGCCAGCCAAGAATGGATGTAGCGCGAGTGGGCCTAACGTGCCTCATATGTTCCTAAAAATGGCGTCACTTGTTCCCATAAACAGACCTCCAGAAAATACGTCTAAATTGCTCGACGAGCAGCTCAAAAGTGAGTTGAAGCTTCTGACACTTCCACCAATTTCACACTCACTCATCGCTGAAAAACTCGGATATGTTGGGGAGGTAACTCTGATCGGATAAAGGACAACGATTGTAACTTCAAGAAGTAATTTGCACTCCAACATGGGACGTATTGTCTTCTGATTGTAGAGGTTTGCGCATTTACAAACTTCACACTTTCAGGTTAGATCAAAAAACGGAAAGAGAGTTTTATACACAGCAGAAACAGAGCATAAGAGAGACCCATTGATGTCATCAAACGGACTGACGCCGAAATTGTGAACTTTAATTCAATGCCCACTTGAGGGATTACTGGAGTTCCTCAGGTTTTCATTATCGTTCGCACAACTGATTTGTGCATTAGTTTGAACGCATATTATTTGGGTGTAGCGTTGATAAAATCACGCATGGGAGAAGATTAACTGACAAGTTTGACCTAGCCACGTAAGGGCAACTACTAAAGCACCCCTTTACGAAGCGGAACTCAGAATATGACCTGTGTTCTTTGTTTATCTGCGTCCAGAAGCTCAGTTTAGTCGCGCAAGCTCGATGGTGTGACAAACAGAGGTGACATAATAAGGCTGAAAGAGTCCTTAAAGTAGCCTGCGATCCGAGAGATTTACTGGAGCCAATTACAACAATCGAAGGGTGTGTTGCCATCGCTAACTTGTTTGTCTCCAGGGTGTACAGGTTTTTGTCAGACGATTCACATAGTACTAAAAAGGGACACAAAAAAGATTCAACTAAATCCGCTGTTTGCGATACTGTCTAAATAAATGTATTGTACAAACATCACCCTATGTTTCAACGTAGGTGAGAATGTCGGCGCATTTTTCCTCAACACTACACTAAATTGAGGTTGGAGAAGGACTGTTTGACAGCCCATCGTCAGCTTCAATCTTTAGAGGCTCATAAGACTAATAGCAGGCTGCAGGGAAGGTTTTTGCGGCCACTGAAAATACCAAAGGTAGATGTATCTGTTACGCATGAAGACGGGTTGATCCCACCGACTGCTAGTAATTTACCAAATTAGAGGACTTCTACGTGTCCGTTATTGATAATTCTTCCGTGGATACGTCCACACCCAAAAAACACCCCTATGGCCTTACATAAATTTGATTTAAAGCAAGTCAAGAAAGGGAGATCCGACCCGAAATTAGCAAATTATGCCCTCTACTAAAGAGGCAAAAGATGTGTCTCGCATCATTTTCGGCTTACCAATTAATCCAAACTGATATTCCACAGGGAGGTAGAGAGCAAAGTAAACTCTGTATGCACTATTTTTATTCAGTCCGTCCTAGGTTATGTGACCGGTTATGAAGATTTTAACCATTTCCTCACCATTTAACTTCTAGAGTATCCGAAATTCTCAGTACGTCCTAGCGACATAGGACCGAGCGATTGTTTTCTGTGCACCACGGAAAATAGCCGAAGGCACAAGTATCCTAATTTTAACCGTCTTCTTTGGTCCATATCACTATCGTTGTTTGATGAAGGAATTGCTTAATTTCAGTGTTTTTACGATGTTTTTATAATGTGTTGTGATAACAACGCAGTTGTTTGATGATATATATATATATATCACCAGTTAACGAGATCACAGTTTGATGGTTGGTCACACTACATGATTGGCTGAAAAAGTCCATTTGACCTACGTGTGTCTCAAGGAGATTGGCAAGGCTCACTTAACTGACTTTGACGCGGATGGGTAATCGTCAAGTTCGATGTAATCAATCGCACAAGTGATTGAAAGAAATCAATATGGCTGGTATCTGTGACGCTGTAAACTCCAAAATCAACAGTACTAAGTTCCGTGAACTGGGCGAAGTGTTAAGATCACAGCTAATTAGATGAGGGTTAAACTTCGAGAAGTGAGGCCTTGAAAAACAACCCTGAAGTGAAAGGTTTTGAATTGTGGGTAGGTATGCAAATTAAAATCCAAATTTTTTAAGAAGTAAGCATGTTCTTGTCAGATCTCAGTGGCTAAAAACTCGACCTCTCCAAGGGTAATGGATGCCCATCAGATGGCAGCCTAAATATTTAGACGAGACAATATAGTCTACATATCTTTGGATGCCAGTGAGAAAATGGGCAGTTTTGCAGGCGCTACTTGTTTCCACTTCCCCCAAACGAATTCTTCCCTGTTTCGAAATAACTAACGAGTCGTTGTGGCAGGGGAAAAAGTCCGAAAAATGTGTCGTTTTTATGGAACGAAAGTGTATCACTCGCTCACTAGTACATCACTAGTTGAGCAAGTGTCAGACAGGAGTTAAGCACCAGTAAAATGCCTGTAGATGTTGATCGGTGCTGCCATACCACTAAAAAGGAAAAGCACTGGAAATCCTCTGATTTCAAATGAATCCCCAGTTTTCCATGAGTTCAATTTACTCCAGGTTGGCTCCGTAAAGGCACGATGTACGCAATTCTGATGGACTCAGCAGCGAAACTGTGATTCAAGAAACGAACATCGTGGATGATGTGCGATGTGGTATATTTGGGATAGGAAATTATTGAACTATTTATAAATGACTATCATCATTACGTTGGATCCGCTTGCTTCTTATTCAACACGTTCTCCTGGCTAGGTGAACACATTTGACCTTTTCGACGGTTTTAATGCATGAATGGACTATCGTTTCAAAGGGCTTTGGTAACCACTTGGCAAGGCAACCGCTAGGCAACGTTCTTCTCTTTTGACATAAAAACTTCGTCTGGTCATTGGGGTCTCAGACATCACAGGCAGGTATAGAGAGTGATGCTGGTCTCTGATGAGTGACAATAAGTCTTCGATCACAGATTTTTGTGTCGCTTGAATTAACTATGAGATTGCCATATTGGTCTTTAGTTGGGTTTGGGACTATTGTGTTATCTACCATCGCTGGTTTTTTTCAGAACTGTCGCTCCAAAATTCGATCACTGAATCTGACCGGTTTTTCGGAGTTTTCATTATTTCTGTAAGAATCCCGATCACAAATCTGTGATGTCTTATGGCCCATAGGAAGTGAGCTCGCTCAATACGGGACGGTGTTAACGGCTGATGTATTTTTTACGACCAGTATACTGTAGTCAAAGCACGAACTGCCGTATTTGAATTAACATTTTCCAATTATAGACGTAATACAATACTCTTTATTGCTTAGACGTGTTCGTTTTCTGCATGCTGTTTTCCCGATATTTCGAATATAACTGTAAGTGTGTAACTAAGTGGCTTAACTCAAATAACGATCAAAAAAGTTTCTGAACGAGTCACATCTCCTAACAAAAACTAAAGAGTTTTAAGAGACCTATTATTTATTTCATTCTAATGCTGTGCATCCTGGTATTCAAGTGCTCCTCAAGAACAAAAAAATCTTGCACTGTGCTAAACGCAGACCATCACCACGGGAAACGTAAGTTCAGCAAACTTGAAAAAATAATCTTTTTCGCACATGCTTCCTTCAATGTGGGGAGTTTTTCTTGATATTCTTAGCGTATCTTATTATCAGCATTTGTATGTTACCTGCAACATACTCCCCAAGTGTTTGTGCTGCTGTAATCTGACGACTGTTTCAGTCACTTCCGCTATTCGGATTGAAGTTGACAAATGAGTCAACATTGCATTCACCCTGCCTGAGGAACCCCAAGAACAATAGAACTTTACTCTGTGGTTTTTTCCTGCGTGTTTGCTTGTGCGCGCGCCTTGAGAGGCTTCCAATAGTCTCCTGAACAGAGAGTACTTTTGAGTAACGACCGAAGTGGTCTTGGATGATCTGTCTTTAACAAATCGTGCGAGTGAACTCTGATAACAACAAAGTCTTTTCGTTGTAATACTACGACGAGAGGGTAAGGTTACGTAGTAGTTTTACCGCATTATCACCAGTACTGTTTTCATGGAAATAGGATTGCGTCATTCAAAACACCGCTTCTAAAAATATCACGTAGACTGGAAGTTGCTCTGAGTGATCAGGTGGATGTACATGTGGCTGAACGCAAGCTGTGACATCACCCACTGCGCACGAGTGTTCACCGGCTTCATGGATCTGAAAAGCAAATTTGAGAACGGTTACCAGTCCACTGAAGCAATTCTCACATGGCAAGATGCGCCAATTGCAAACGAACAGACCTACCCTAACATAATGCTCCACCCGTACGGTTGCGTACATAATTGCCTCGCCAGAAGTCTACCTGAGCCACCATTTTCCCGTAATTCAAGCAAAACGGGCAATTACTGAGTTTGGCTAGCATTTTAGTCTCCTAGATTATGGGGAAAAGCATCCGTTGTCTGGTAATAGAACAGTTTTTTCGTTTTTGGTTGCTCATTTTCGTATCCGGCAACAGAATGTGTCGTAACACAACTCTGACCAAATCATCTATCCTCTAATGTGGATTACAGTCAACAACCACTGACTCTGTGTAGACTACCATTCAGTGAGCTGCACTTCTACACCAGTTGCAAACACTTCTAGGAATACTTGAAAACTGGATAAACTGGTTAGCGTTATAATCATTCGGGTTATTAAATAGTGGAAAATTTTTTCACTGAAGACACTTGTGGGATATCTCTTCGAATATTCACTGCAAAATAAGGAGAGATCCTACAAATGACTCCTCAAAAAGTCGATACTTCTGATTCAGTACTGTATTCCGATGCACGCTCGTGGTAGGTGTCTCACTGGTACCCGGAATAGAGATTTATCAGTCCGACAAGCTAGTTAATGGATATATTACTAGTCAATATGCTTGCAAACAGGTCCATGTGCATATGCCCCCGCTTCGGACCAAATACATGATTCCATTGTAACCACTGGTAGTGTTGATTCAATTATTCCACACTCATGTATAACTGCATTCTACCCCAGTTTCGTGACAGTGCCTATAGATGTTAATATCCGTGTTGTCACTGGACCTTCTGGACCTCTAGTTGATAGTTGCACGATTCCTGTGAGACTGCCTCAAGATACCTCTCTCGATTTTATCACTTTAGTTTCAACCTCGGGACCATCGATTTTCGGACTCAAATTTCGCGCTTACTGCGAACTTGTACCACGGTGCTGACTTCTGTAAGTAAAAATGTACTCAAACAACTGATTTTTAAATGTCCTAACGGTACAGGTGGCGTACAGATGCTCAAGGAGAAACTCGAAGCTACAGGAGATCCCATATTTCTTGAGAGACGAATTATACCATTTAGCTTACTGGAACCTGTTCGTCAAGGATCGAATTCATTGTGCGACTCAAGCATATTTACGCTGGTCTGAAGTTTTTTCAATTGCCTCTCCGAGTGTTGGATTCACACAGCAAGTATTGAGGAAAGTATTCAGCCATAAAGCTGTAGCAACTGTTTTGATCACTGACAATGGCACACACTTCACTGCAAAATTCCTCGAGGAATGGTCAAAGGGTGTTGGATGTCGACATCTGTTTCACTGCTCCACGACACTCCAAGTCGAACGGGCCTGCTGAGAATTTTGTCCGAACACTAAAATCTACCATTGCTTCATTTCCTTCTGCTTCTTTCGTGGTATTAGATTGTGGACTTGATAATCTTCTGATTCATACAGGAATACCGTTCAGTCAGTTACTGGGAATGGTCCCGCGATTCTCTTTAAATCTCGCTCGTTACGTATAAGTGTCGACTGTGCCAAGACTGTTGACGTTACGTTTTTCAGGGTTAAGGATTTACGGCCTGCCGCCAGAATAGTACTTTCATCATATGGTAAACGTATGGTCACAGTTTGCGATTTGGATGATCCCTATTGTCACCGGAGACACGTTGATCAGGCTGAGTTCAGTACCAGAGATCAGTCTGTTAACGGTACTCCTGCTGTTTCAAATACTAATAAATCATTTGTAGACGATCTTATTGTATCCGAACGAAACGCTATCTCTGAAGAACATACTACCTGCGAAGATCTTGAAGTTTCCAATCCGAGAAGATCCGAAAGATGACGATCAAGACTACCACTGAACTGTAAGCGCCCACACGCTCATTCAAGTTGTGGCGGATGTAATGGAAATAATTGATGCTCTATTCATTGCCTCGCTGATTATTCTCTTGTTTCAATACTCTAAACGCTGTATACACATATTAACCGGAATAAATACGCACTGTTTGCTACGCTGTGCTGGAGCTTAGTATTCGCACAATCGAGTTGAATTTTCAAAAGTTGTAGCGTGTCCCTGATAGACTAAAGCAATCGGAAAATTGAGAGTACCAGTCCAAATTTTGAGCTCCATTTAGGCATCCGGGGTCTCAGCTATCCCGGACAATTATTCCACAAGGTTTCTCAGCCAGAAGCACGGTTGCTTCAATGAACAATAGAATTTGGTGAGCTGTGAATGTAGATTGGGATGGTTTTCGGTTTGAGCACCAACGCCACGAAATGCAACATTTGGGCTTCGAAAGTTTTACTCCACTTCAAAGGTTTTTCGGCTGACCGAAATGTGCGGATAATGGGCACCCGCTGTGCTGGGTTGTAGATTCCTAGTTCATATGGTTTTTCTCGATATACTTGCTGAAGTTAAGTATTAAAAACACGTAGCCTTTATCAAGGGTGTACACTGAGCTACTACGAAAATAGTGACCGGCCTTAAATCTATGCATTATGGAACGCATTTCATGGTGCTTGAGCCTTTTCCCTGGAGCGTTGTCGCCTCCGAAATGACCTGCCCTGTCTTTTTCCCGCGCTGTGCTTTCAAAATCGGTGTCGCTTCCCCTCGTACAAGTTTGTGAAAGAATTCTATCTAGTTACAGAGTCCACGCATGTCATCTGTTGAAATTTTCACCATGGCATAACATTCCCATGATAGACTCTGCCAGTTTACGCTCAGTCCTGCGGTGCACACAGTCTCAATTGACTCAAATAAATACAGGCTACTTTCTACACCCATCAATAGACCACAACATCTGTGGGTAAAATGGGTGTCCATCGAATGTACAACGTGGTATTCAGTGCAAAATCTGCAAGGCCTGGTGGCAATTTAAATGTACGGGTTTACGGACCAACGAGATAAGCCAGCAATTTAGCCTTCCTGTTCCGATTTTGCGAGCCAGCCGTCCGTATTTTAAGGGTGCAATGCATTGAGCAACTAAAACGAGAGGTATCAAAGACGAAAGCAAATCCTGCTTGACAAATCGTAGAAGAACAGTGTGAATGTTCCGCTTTTTTCGGGGTACTTGACGCAAAACTGCGGCTTCTTTCTAAATCTCTGGATAACATAGGCAGAAGGGACACAACGAAAGCTGATGAAGAATTATCCCAGCTGGATGAGTACTTTTTGCTATCCATCCCGGGTCCATTGGCTGCGAACGTCATTCAGCTATCTGATGCAGCAATAAAGATCACCATGGCCCCTCTAGTGGACAAGCGCATAAGGGACAGCAGATTGATCCTCTTGGGGTCGTAATCCGGGTAACTCACGCCAGCAAAGCAGGCGCAGTCGTTCCTTTGTAGTATCCTCACGAAGTCTGGTCACGACTCGCTTCACGCAGACTGATAATGCCAGAAGAGAAGCAAGTGAACCCTCAAGCTTCTAACCACCTTGTTCTCCCCACTTGCCGTGCAGAAGATCTTGGAGCAGACTGTCAGCGTTCAAAAAGCGTACATAGTGATCAGGCGTATACCTGAGGAGCACTCTCTAGAGGCACAAAAGCTGCGCTACAGCAGTCGTGATGGATAGGCGCGGAACGGGCTCCCGATTAGGGCTGGTTAGCCGGCCTAAAACTTGTGGCCAAAACGATGGTAGTTACAGCAACTTATGCTCCTGAATGCACACCGGCGCAGCCGGCCGGGACTCAGGATCGCATTTTCTATTCAACCACTGCAGACGCCCCAACAACCAAAGACAGCGATGCTCGGGAGGAAGCTAGTCTCGCGTGGATGCAGCACCAAAAGTATGTCGTGCTATCATCGCTTATTTCCGTAACAGACAACAAAGACGCATCAGTGAACTCCCCATCCGAGGCACAACTTGTGAACTGGGCTGGGTCAGACGTGCAAAGACAAGTGGGTAAGCCTACCGACAAATCAAACACGAGCGTTGACTTCGGCATCTGGAAACTCTGAAAGAATCTTACAACCAATGGCAACGTGAGACTGCCTATTTCCAGCCCCACTCCTTCAAAAGTGCTTTTTCTATTGTGAACACAGTTTTTGCCCATGAGCCCGACAGCCAGGGCGACAAACGCGACAATAACTAACTGAGAAATTTCTCGTACATCCAGTTGGCCACGCTGATTGCGGGCGAATCGAAAGTCCACACAAAAACGAGGGAAAAGCTATTGGATGCAAACAAACCACCTGGACTTGGCCAAATAAAAAAACTGTTGGCTAACTCAAAGGAGCAGTCTTAGGCAAAAACGAGTCTCACATGAACACCAGAAGGAATACTTCTTCGTGCTGCCACCCAACGCTAAGGCTTTCACGGAGACACCTTGTAGATGAAATCGCGCCAGAACGCCCAAGAAACCAAAGAGACGCAGGCTTGTCCTGAATACTGGAACAACAGCGGTAATGAACGAGCCACAAATAGCAGTGTCCGAAAGTTTTGCCAACGCAGGAGAAACTGCGTCTCCAAAAGACAGAAGGCCCACACAAACTGGATCCTCACAGAGTTCGGAATTCCGCAAATGAAAACCAGTTCTTGAAACGACTGGGGCAGGAAGCAGACAAGTACACCGCAGAGGCCCGCTTGGAGCCTTGGGCTCAAGCCCGACACAGCCAATAAATCTGATAACCTGTCTGACAGCGCACATCTCGACTTCCCAAGTTCGGAGACAGTAAAGACAGTGTTTAAACGCTTCTTAACAAACTGCCTTAGCCTTTTCAACAAACTATGCTACATCACAATTTAGTTTGCCTTAGACGGGCGTCCATAATCAATATCACAGAGACCTGGCTCCCGCCAAATGTCTCTGACGCGGATTTTTTGATGGATGCACCCTATGTTTTTCAGGCTGACTCAAAACAAAAGGAGAGTGGTGCGGTTGCCATGTGGTTACATGCGGCCCTGAGCACTACAGTTGCCAATCTGATACCACTCCTTGCGATGCACAGTGGATTCAAATCCCTCTGCGAGGGTCTTATTCTACACTTATCGTTTTGGTCTACCGTAGCCTCTCGAGCTCTCCAGAAGATGACCAATTCATCATACAAATTCTTGAGCAACTCTCCTTAAGATACCGCTTCACTCATCTCTTGCTGGTAGGTTATTTCGACGCTCCAAAAGCCCCCTGGATAAAGCTCCAGCGTGTCGAATCAAGTGAACATTTTACCGCGACACTACTCGAAGTCATTTAAGAGGGGGCTTGGATTCAGCAAGTCGTTGTACCCACGAGATACCGCGCAGGCCGGCCACCATCCCTCCCGGATTTGGCACTTCGTCAATCCGGTTAGAATTAACCACACACTAAGACATAGAAAAACCGCTGTGTGCTGGCCTTTGACTTCATCTCCCACGGGGCCGGAAATCTCGAAACTAAAACGTGGATTCCAAAACCCCCGGAGTGCAGACTTCTCAAAAATGAGCATCTTTTTTGAACAAGGTTATCTGTGATCAGTCTCAGTGGAAGACTTACATACGACAACTTTCCAAGAGGCTTATAAGGCTTACTCGATGTTCGGTTAAAAAAAACAGTATGCAGTCGGATGGGCCTCAGGCTACCCAAAAGGATTCTTTGTCTTCTGCGAAGAAGGTCCCAACTATTTTTTCGAAAAGTTGACTACAGGACACGAAGGATGAGCTGCCATTTCGTCAAATGTGGAACCGCTGTAAATCAGAAATCCGTCAATGGAGTATGCAAAAGCAAACCCCAATCCCGTACTACCCCGAAAATAAAACGGAAATGTGTTGTTTGAATACATGAGAAATCGCCGCAGAAATATGCCATCTGCGTTCTCTTTGAAGGACAGGAACAGAGAACCCACGAGCGACCCGATATCGCCATCTGAAGCTTATATTCAGCCACAGCGTCTTCTTTGCTTCCAAACTTGTCAAGGCTTAGTCACGAACGGACTTTACGGTGAACATTCGTCAACTCTTGTACAAGATCAACCAATGCTGCACGTCGGGCTCGACGAGGTTCATCTAGAGACCCTGAAGGGAACGTTTACATGGCAAAACATTTCCACCTGCTGTTTCGTCAGTCGCTTGTCAAAGGCCACCTTCCTTTGGCTTGAAAGGAAGCGATTATCACACCAATCTACAAAATTGGTGACTGTCACCCG